AAGAAGGAATACAAAATTTTGCCAATGTTCTTATATACAACACAGTAAAACATCACCATCTACTAATCTCGTTCTTCACTATGTTGATTTTTCACACAGACACTGACTACACTCGACCTTTTACATAATCAAATCGGACATGAGGGGGTAAGGCATCTTGCCAATGCTCTCACTAACAACATGGTAGGATATCATTTTCTATTCATCTTGCTCTTCAACATCTCGAGTTTTCATACAGACTCTCACCATACTCAACCTAGGCGAGAATGAAATCAGAAACGAAGGAGCTCAATACCTTGCCAATGTTCTCAGCAACAACAGGGTAAAACACGGTTTTCTACTCATCTTGCTTCTCGCTATCTCGACTTTTGACACAGTCACTAACCACACTCAATCTTCAGTGGAATGGAATTGGAGTCGAAGGAGCACAATATCTTGCCAATTCTCTCACCAATAACAGGGTAAAATACTATATTATACTCATCACACCCTTGACTATATCTAGACTTTTCATACAGACACTCACCACACTCAACCTTTGGCGGAATGAAATCGGAGACGAAGGAGCAGAACATCTTGCAAATGCTCTCACTCACAATAGGGTAAGAAACCATTGCATACCCATCTCGGCCTTGATTATCTGGACTAAAGTTTTAACTGGTAACATTTTCCTTTGTCTTACTGCTTCCAGTACCTGTCTAAAGCAGTGAGCTTGGACTGGAGCGGGCTAGCCAGTAGACCTGCATGAATCATTTTTCATTTTTCTCATCCTTTTGAAGTCAAATGAATCTGTGAGTCAGTCATATCTACCTCTGAATCACTGCATCGATAACGTAGGACGTCAGTTTCTCTATGATTGTGCTCTTGTGAAATATGATTGTTAATGAGTATTGAAGTATATGGCGAGAAGATTGAACAGATCTCCAGCAACTTGCTCTAAAGACCGTAGGAAAGATACCGATGTTCTTTTAAACGACTGACGAACTGAAATTTAGATGCCCGTATGTCTGTTGTGATCTCTTACGATCTGGCTAGCTCTCCGATATGTTGTATTTTGATCGCATCATGGTTTGCCATATAGATGATTAGGTTTCCTATAATAGTTAAAGTGGCTCCATTGTGTTTCATATTTTTCTGGGGAAGGGATTGCATTAAAAGCGTTTTTTTCACTCTCTATTCCCATAGCTTTTTTTCTCTGTTGACATTTATTAATAAATAGGAAATTTCATAGGACTACGAACACTACATAAGCTTCGTACACTGATCAAATGTTCCTCAAACATAGATATTATGAATCAACTGTATATGTAACCCGTTATCTCTTATGCCTCTGTGAAAGATGTAGCATAAAAGATGATTCCATTTCATTTCGATAACATGACTTAATATTGCAGTGTGATAATTAAAAAAAATATTAGGTCTATTCTGATGAATATTCCCTCAATGAAAATATTCTGATGCATACTCCCTCACAGAAATAGTCATTGACATCAGTGAAAGTCGTTTAACTTGTGAAGAAAAATATTTCTATGATCAGTCGTTTGAAAAAAAACAACCAAAGTTGAAAAGATCTCTTCCAGCTATTAAAAAAAGTTGTGGCTATAGACCGATAAGGAATCTTCTGCCGTACCACACCGGCCATTTACTATTACCAGATATCTTTGATCTGATCTTTTCACACAGACACTCATCACACTCGCCCTTGGGTGGAATGAAGTTGGATCACAAGGCGCGCAACATCTGGCGAATGCTCTCATCAAGAACATGGCAAAATACTATTTTTTGCTAATATCGCTCTTCACTGACTCTAATTTTTATACAGACCCTCACCACATTCAACCTTCGGCATAATAAAATCGGAGAGGAAGGAGCAAAATATCTTGCCACTGCCCTCAAAAACAACATGGTAAACGCTGCTTTCTACTCATCCCATTTTTCACTGTCTCGATTTTTTACACAGACACTCACTACATTCAGCCTTCGGCATAATAAAATCGGAGAGGAGGGAGCACGAAATCTTGCCAATGCGCTCAAAAATAACATGGTAAAACATCATGTTCTACTCATCTCTCTTTTCACTATCGTTATTTTTTGCACAGACGCTCACCACATTAGATCTTGCAAAGAATGAAATCGGAGATGAAGGAGCACAATATCTTGCCAACATTCTCGCCAACAACACGGTAAAACACCATTTTCTATTCGTTTCGTTCTTTACTGTCTCAGTTTTTCACATAGACACTTACTACACTAGACTTTGGGGAAAATGAAATCGAATGCAAAGGAGTACAACATCTGGCCAATGCTCTCAGCAACAACACGGTATAACACCTTTTCTACTCTTCTCGTTCGATACCCTCTCTTAACTTTTCATATAGACACTCACCACACTCAACCTAGAGTGGAATGGAATCGGAGATGAAGGGACACGACATCTTGCAAATGCTCTCACCAAAAATACGGTAAAACATCACTTTCTACTTATCTCATTACACACTGTCTCCACTAATCACACAGACGCTCAGCACACTAAACCTTGAGTATAGCCAAATCAGAGACGAAGGGGCACAACATCTTGCCAATGCTCTCTCTGCGAACACGGTAAGACATCATTTTCTATTGATCTCGCTCGTTGATATCTTGACTTTTCATACAGACACTTGTCACACTTCACCTTCTGGGTAATCGAATTGGAGAACAAGGAGGAGGCGACATGATGAAAACTCTGTTAACAAACGGCACTATAAATTTGTTATGGTGATCACTCATTATTTGGCTTTCAAATGTTTATATTAGCATACTTTTCACGAACACGACATTTTTAGGGAAATCTCTTGTTTGAAGGAAGAATTTTACATGACATTTTGACATGTTACCTTTTCATCATTTGACTTCATTATATACTAGAGGAGCCTGTTGAAGATTTGGGTGTGGATATGAGGGTGTGGGTGTGGGTGAGGGTGTGAGTGGATGTGGATGTGGGTGAGGGCGTGGATGAGTGTGGATGTGGGTATGGGTGAGGATAACTGAGTATGGGTGAGGATATGGGTGTGAATCCCCTCTAAATAGACACCCACACCTACACCCGAGCCAGACTCGAACTGACTTTTAGAAAATGGAGTTGAACTGAATCGAATTCGAACCACTTTTTCCAAAATAAAGACGAACCGAACTGGGCCTGAAGTAATTTTAAAGCAAAAAAAGTTGAACACGGTTTAATGTTGAATGACAAAAAAGTAAGTAAACTATCATTGACTTGGATAAGTATAATGCCGTCAAGAAAAATAAAAACGAACATTTAGTGATTGTTTCACATGCTTAATTTAATATCTGTGCATTGCTGTCTACTTTTCCTCTTAGTTTTCGTCACAAAAGTTGTGTTTATGATGACAGGTCACTTTTATGAGGCATAATTCTTTGATTTTTCTTTTATAAATTTCTCCATTTTTCTAAAGTGCAATGAATAATCGTCCGTGATGATATGAGATTAGTATCAGCACTAGAATATTTCTAATTCTCATGTATCAGTGTTAACATATAATTTTAATCTACAAATGTATTTATCAGTGTTAAACGACACGAATATGAACTACCATGTGACAATTTTGATCGTCTGCAAATTAAGTTTTGATTTTTGGTCTAGCCTTGATTCAATGGCAATAATACTACTTCAGTCGAACCGCAGTCGAACTGTTTTTTAAAGACTAGCCAAACCGAATCGAATTCGAACCGTATTTTCAAAAGTGAGGTCGAACCGGACTGAACTCGAACCTTTTTTCCAAAAGTGAATCCGAACCGAACCGAACTCGATCTAGAAAAACTCGGCTCGATTCGCCCTCTGGTCTAGAATAACGTCTTTCATTCACATCTATCCCACACTCATATCCCAGAAACAGCGCCATTTTTTAGGGGTTTTTTGAGTCATTGAACTTGTCATCTCTTCTCTTCGATTAAAGAGTAAGAATTTTAAAAAAAGGACCATGAGAGGAACTAGTCCTAAGCATAAGTTTTCAAACACAAAAACAGTTATTGGTTACAATGAAGCTCTTTTGAGAATTCTTAGAGATATGATCGAGCTATTTTCGACCCTTGTTTGACAAATATCTCTGCCAAGCATCATGATATAGGGCTGAAAATTTTACTATAGTTTTCCCACATCAGCCTCAATATATTGTAAAAATTGCATATCATTCGAATGTTTCTGGTCTGAGATCGATTTTTGAGGGGATTGCGTTAAACGGAGGGTATCCGTTGCTGAGATTCTCTCACAAGTAGAATACTCGTTCGACTACTGATTCTACAGTTATGCGAGACCGAGGAGGGAAAACATTCTCACAGCTTTCATCAGTTAAACACATCAAATAGTGCAATAGATTCCTCAATCCAAGCAAAGTATCTATTGACTTAGTTAGATAGGTACAGGGAAACTTCTGCATCACTTCTGAGTCAGGTCATTTATTCATTCAAAGAAATGATTTATTAACGGAGCAACGTAACACAAGAGAGACCACATACTTCCCGATGGAGATTTTCAAGTATTTAGTGCTTTTGGATTTCTACTTTCCTTTATTTTTCCTCGCCAAGTATGTGTTTTTCGAACTTTTCTTGTCTGAATTTTGAGAGACATATTATGATGAAGATATGTAAAATATTGATCAAAAGCATACAAAATGAGATAGGAACATTGTATTCCAGTTACTTATGCAATGCTTCAATGGATAATACGATAGCAATGTGATAGTTAAATAAATCAATTTGTATCATGAATTTTTTAACATTATTCTTCTTTTTTTGAAGGACAATATCGATGAACATGTAGCTTTGGACAATAAGTAATTGATATCAGCATGAAAGCAACAAAGACAACATGGCTCAAGCTATTTGAATATCAATGTGAAACAAAGACGAAAAAGCTTAGTGATTACATGAAATTTGATAGTGAAAACAGTTACTCAATATAATGCTTGATTGAAGAAATGTAATTCTACCTGTTTTTTAAATCATGATTGAACAGTAACTCGACGAGAACGAATACGCCTTTTCATCCATCGATAAAGTCTTATGACATTCCAGATGATGAATCGTAAGCCAATTGTAAGACCACCATAGAGACCAAGTACTGATGTAGCCGCGTGCAAGAGATTATTGCGTGTAGCATATTCAAAATTACAATGAGATGGTGCACACGCAGCAAAATAAGCTTCGTATGACGCTGTATATGTCCACCCTTCGAGAAAGTATTCGTCTAAGAGTGTACCGATTGAAGTGTTCTTTGAAAAATTTGAAGGTATTGAGCTGTCTAATGGAGATATAGTCAAGGGTAATACCTTCGGTGGAACGAAATCTGTAGGTGGTGAGCCATCCATTTGTGTGTAGTATTCAAGATAAGTGAGGATGGTAGAGATACAACTTGATGAGAAGAAACATTCAAGTGTGGACATACGAAGTCCATCATATGGTAAACATCCAACAACAAGACCGGGTAAAAAGAGACCTGGTGGACCGATTCGTAGTGGTTCTTGACATGCTCCCGAAATCATACAATTGCACGTACTATTAGCGAATGCGCGAGGTGCACTTCGAATAAGATAACCATCCGATTCGTCACCATACTCCAACAACCAATCAGTATTGAAGGTTGTCGGCAAAAAACTCGAGTGAAATATTTCAAGTAGGAAATATTGAAGCCGTTGAAATTCCTTTGGTAAGTAGCGAATTTGGTGAGCGACGATTCCGAACATATTCCATGAGCTTCGAGGCCGTACAGTTGCGCTTATTATCGATATTTGATAGAATTTTTCCAATTGTACATCGGCACTCTTTATTAATTCTTCACACATCCATCTCAAAATTTGAAAATGCTTGCTGAGAAGAGGTCGATCAAGCTGTAGATGGCTGTTTGCAGAGGGTCCATATCCATATAATAGCGTTATCCATGTTGTATTGATAAATGCACTCGAACAGATCTGAACAATGCATGACATAAAAAGTCTTAGAAATCAGTAAATTACAGATAATATCATATGCAACAGCACTTAGAGGTCTAAAAAAGCTAAGTTTAATATGCTGTCATTTTATAAAAGATCTTCCTATCTTCAGTAAGTAGCATTATGTGTCAGTATCAACTAACAATTAAGAGCTCTCCATGTTTGAAAATCATACAAACTACAAGTGTATTTTTCTGCGTCTTTGCATATAAATAAACAGGCTGATCCTATTGGGCAGCGTTGTGGATGTGAACTTATCATCATGAAAAGTTTCCGTTTTTTCCAGTAAGGCCAAAGATTTTTTCTGCGTCCGGTGTCAAAACAGTTTTTCAACCTCTCCCTTAAAATACCACAACGGTCCCCTTCCTCCCCTTGTCTCATATTGGCTACCTTAGGTCAGCCCTGTAAATAACGTTTCATATTCCAAGAGAAGCATCATTCTCGTATGACGAACTATCCTCTACTGATGCATAGAGAAATGATGCTCATATGAATATGAATATCATCGATCCACATAAATTACCTGATGATATTTGAGCTTGATAGATATGAATCTACCGCGTGGTAGAGTAGCCGTTTGGCAATAACATGAGAGTGTGACTGGATATGTTTGTTGAAGTTGTTCAAATGTAGAAAGTGAAGGTGATAGTACCATTTTGGTGACGCTGATTTCAGTGAAACCGTTTAAAAGAGCAAATATTGTCATGATTGCACTGAGCAAAACAATATAGATTCGACTTGATGTAAGTGCCACCTCTTCACGATCTGGTATTTGACTAATGGACCTTTCTTTTCTGAACAGATTCATTTTGATCAAGTGTTTCTTTGTTTCAATTCTTAGTTTATTGAGTCGATATAATAGATCTAAGAAAAGACAGAACACAAAACCAATCATTCTATTATGAAAATGTCTGTCGAAAATAAGATGTATGCATCGCATGGTGATAATCTCAAATTCAAATCTATCAAGTTTGGTTCATAGAAAGAGAAATTTTCACGAATTGAATAGCATATTTATTCATATATTCCTTGTGTCCTGAATTTTATACAAGAAAAGGAAAATTGTTTTGATAAATTTATTGTATTGCATTGAATGTAATCACTTAAGTTTTATAAACACGATAGTTAAAGAGTGTCGAAGCCTATGGTGAGAAAAGCGAATCTTCACTTCCTGGCGTAGTCATAGATCGTGACAGACATGTCAACATATTCTTTTAAAAATTTACATCTCAAACTTTGATATTGTCAAAGGATTTTAGGATTTCGTATTTATTCGAAATCCACTAAATCTAAAAGTTCTTTCTCTTTTTCTCAATGTGGTATATTATCCTATGTCATCGACACTTCTGGAGAGTGTTTTTTGAGCTTTGATTGAATTATGATAAACATAATAAGAGTCTTCATATCTGTATAGAGTCGGCTCTATCACACTTCAAATTGTATTTCGCTCAGAATTGCGCTGAAAGATTTTTGTTCAAAAACAGAAGATGAAAGCGTGAATAATTTCTCATACCATCACAAGCATAATCTACTATCCTCTAGATGAAAAATCGTTTTTTTGTCAAAAAGTCACAGAGAAGTGGCCCAAAGATGTTCAATACTTTTCTCATCTGCATGCTTACTACATAGTTTTGCTGCTAAGTACGAGATGTTTATTTACCTTCATGCCTATCACGCTGTTGATTATGGATATTTGCTCGACGTCGACGTTGACGAAGGATAATCCAGTAGAAAAGTTTTGCAGCAACCGGAACAATAAGACGAAGACTAGTGACAAGACCACCAAACAGTCCACCGACAATTGCAAAAATATAAACACGATCCATTCGCCGTACGATGCTGTATGTACAGGTAGCAGGAGCACAACTATTATAGTAGCCATCGAAGTTTGAGTTCATTTTCCACTCTTCAACCATCAGCCGACTGAAAATGGTCTCAAGTGTATCTTCCAGTGAGAACAATGATAAAGCTGAACTATTCAAAGGTTTAATGTTAATGGTAGCTGAAGATAATGGCAATCGTTTAGGCATATCAACATTGAACATGGAGAGAAGAATATTCAAACAGGTCTGATTGAAGAAGCAGCGTAAATCAGAATTCAAAAGTGATTCGAAAGGATTGCATGACTTGACTAGGCCAGGTACTCTCCAGACCACTGTATCCTCTGTGCAGTTGTTACCATACTGACACAAAAACTGACCTCCGGACCATAAAGGATCTGGACAATCAAATGCGACACTACAAGCGCAGACGTTAAATACAGGAGGAGCAGGAGAGTATCGTCGCAACAAAGGCTTGCCATTCACTACTAATGATTGAAAACGCATACCATTCTGAGACCCAGATGCAGCAATAAATTTTCGGAGAATTGGCACACTCATCACACCATCTATCGTTGAGCTCTCCAGGTTTCCGGTAATTATGGATTCTATATGTGCTTCAAATTCGCTTCCTTAATACAAGAGGATGAAACAGCCTTTAGAATCAAACGAAAGATTTGCAATATCTAGCATGTTTTCATGACCTCACTACTTTCTATCATCTAGCATAGAAATACAGAGAAATATTTCAAATGAGTTAGAAAAATAAACCATAACAAGTAGAGGATGTCAGTAAAGAATGCATTCAGTTCTTTCGAACTATAATTGAAAGAATATAATCAGACTGTTAGGAAAGGTGACCACTCGATTTTAGACTTCTTTCACCTTCTTCCTTCTTGTTATCGTTTGTCATTTTCTCCCAAATGCTTCGCCTCGCCATGGATGGCATTATTGTTCGA